AAGGACACGGCATGAAAACGATTGGAAGGGTAACAAAAGGAAGAGGTTGAAAGAACTGGGAATGCCTCTACACCTGTCAAGGTACAAAGCTAGCAGGATGTGAACTTAACGTCCTTTGCAGTTGTAAACTGGTTGGTACAAAATGCAATGACATTACTGCTCACCCTCTTGGAAAGAAAAGAGAGCTTACGTGTATGCCATGATAAACAGGATAGACAAAAAGTGATCTAACACAGCAAGTGTAAACCCAAGGAGAAATTACACCCTTCAATACCACTTAAAAGAGTCAATGGTCAAAGAACACCTGTTTGTAAACCAATCTTCACGAACACTGCAGGCCAGACCCACTGGTTTATTTAAAGTGTCTTCTCCGAAAAAGACCAAGAGCCCCCCCCCCCCCCAAGAACACATCATGCCCACCACGAGAGAGCCGAGGATGACAAGTTGTTCCATAAAGAGTAATTTTGGACAAACTTAGGAAGAAATCCTCCTGTCTACAGATGACAGTCCAGAAAACTTCAGATATGCATCGAGTATACATGGAGAAATGAGCAGAGAGACAGAAAAAACATTGAGCTATCAAGTGTTCTGCCAAAACTTCAAGAAAAACAATTTGGGTTTTCTTTCAACCAAAAAAGAGCAGTGCGACATTTACACCAGCTTTGAGTCAGTCTGGAAACCTCACAGAAATAGAATGTACAGCTCATCAATAATTTTAATTTATGAATATGAGGAAAGCTGCAGCTCGAGCAGAGAAGGAGAAGGACAGGGAGGCTGCACTGAACGCAGAACAAAGTGTGTGTCCTTTGTATGAAGATCCAGCGCGTCCTCCAGGCACCATCACTGACACCCGCCTTATATTATAAAACAAAACTGGCTGTCCATAATTTTACGATTTAGGATCTTGCCACCAGAGACGCCAGATGATATGTCCTGGATGAAAGTGAAGGTGGTCTGAACTCCAACAGTTTTCATCATGTTTGACTCACTACCATAGATTGCAAGCGACTGACTTCAACCAATTCATCATCTGCAGTGATTGACGCAACTACTAAAACAGAACTGCCACCCTGGTTAGTGCAATGGCCTCGCTGGCCAAAGAGCTTGACATCACAGTTGAGCAGAAATTCTCACCAAGGGCCACTATTGAGCGATCGCTCCAAAACGCACTGATATACATCCCAATGGACTATGTGAACATCGTGCTCCAAGCCAGACGCATCCCCAGGTCCTATGAAGTTATGTACCTGGGCCACAGCTTTTTCAAAGATTTTGCAAAGGTCGGAGAGCACTAAACAATCCGTCCAGGGAGAAAAGCAGGCGATCCTACTGTCACTGACTTGCAGGCTTCAAAGTGCACTCCATACTTTAAAATAAAGTACAAGCTGAACTTTGATGATGGATGGCAGGCGCTGCAAGGACCAAAAAAGCTGAACACCATGTGTACGACGGTTACTGCTGGACCTCTCTGAAAGACAGATTGAAGATAACTGCCAACCAGTTTAAACATCTACTGGAGTTGAAGGCGGTCCTACCACGATGCTACCACAATTACCATGAAACTTTGCCTCAGTAAGACGTTTTGAAAGCGATCAAGTCAAATTCGATTATTGTTGAGTCTTTCAAAACAATGGTAACTTTTGTCGTATTGCCTTGTTATAGCCACAGGACACAGAGTGAGACAGACATGCTCTTCTATTGTTGAGAAAACTCAATAAAGTAGTAGCTGTCAAGCCACGCACCTTGAAGAAAGTTGGCGCATTCTTTGATACCTACAAAGTCTTTTTGTATAATAATAGTATATTATTATGAAGCCAACTTCACTCAAACCATTGCTGAGGTAGCAGAGCTTCTCTGTGGCTTTCTGCTTTCATTTCTTTCTTAGTATTACTTTTTTCCAGGCATTTGAAAGGCCACCCAGTGCCAATAGTACCGTGTCAGACACTGTCATAAATTCTAAAGGCCTGCTGATGCTACTGCTGCTACTTTTGTTTTTGTTTTTGTTGTTGTGGTTGTTGTTTTTGTTGTTGTTGCTGTAGCTGCTCTCCCTTACCATTCGAATCTCCTGTTCTTCTACTTCAAATATAATTAATATACCCATTGCTGTGTTCTGCTTCTTCTACTTCTATTAAATGTTCCTATTTGTGACTGCTGTTTTTGCCATAATTGACTCCGTAGCACTGAAATGGCAGCAGCTGATAGTATGTTGGTAGCAGTAATATCGTCCTCCTCCTCTTCCTTTTTACTCCTCCTCCTCCTTTTTTCTCCTCACCATCTTCTTCCTCCTCCTCCTCCTCCTCCTCCTCCTCCTCCTCCTCCTCCTCCTCCTCCTCCTCCTCCTCCTCCTTCTTCTTCTTCTTCTTCTTCTTCTTCTTCTTCTTCTTCTTCTTCTTCTCCTTCTTCTTCTTCTTCTACAAAAGATCACGACGATTGAAGAACTGATCATATACGTTACAATCAAGTGTGACTTGGCTGCACTCAACCAAACTCGAGGCCAGCAGTGGCTTCCTGATAAAAACCGGCCAACCCACAAAATTGAGGGTTGGTCGGTTTTATCGGGGAAAATTTGAGCGACATAACCGTCTAACCCACGCAGTTTCATTAAAAGTGATTTTTAAAGAAAAAAAGGTCTACAGTTTTTCGGTAAAGTGTTTTTATAACTGTTTAAAGCATTGATTTATCGTTAGACACCTTTGTTTTGAAATAAAACAGTTTTTACCTTCTCCTGTTAAATTTACCTCGCTGGGGTTAGCCGGTTTTATCACAAGGCCGACGATATAGTATGCTCGTCTTTATGGCATATCTTATCTGAATTTTGCATGGCTTACTTAGATATTCATATAATATGTGAGGCAGCATGGTGGAATCAGGCTCACGTCAAAATAACCAAAGTGAAGAAACTTGCATTTTTCCGCAGGTTTGTGAATTTTTATCAAATTTTTGTTTTTTTGGCTCAACACCTTTCATGTCCATTAAAGAACTCATTTCTGTGTAGATTTTTCTGAAAAACGTTGATTAAAGGCATAACAAATGTAAATATTCAGTGACCACGGACTCTTAAGCTAAGGAAATAACTAATCTTTGGCGGCCATTTTCTCACTAATTTTACATATGAAAACAAGTGACCCCCATCTCCTTCTTTTGCAAAGATCTCGACTTGTATTCAAGATAAATGTATATTTTTTGCATCCAAATTTAGACAAGTGAACAAGCTTTAAGATGATACCAATAACTCCACATGCCCAAAAATTGACGAGAGCCTGATTCCACCACGCTGCCTCACATATGGTCTGAACTATGGCTTACCCTGTCTCTGCTTGCATTAAAAGCTGACTGTTTTAAAAATAAGCTTTAAAAATTGCTTACTTCGTGACTTAGAATCATGGTACAGATCTAAATAAAAGGATATATCCATGTATTGTTTATACTTAATGACGTCCAAAAATTTAGGTCTTAGTTTTCGATATTTCTCTCTGGATTGTCAACAACTTGATGACGTCACGCTGTCATCCCTAAATTAGCCACAGCGTATTCCAGCCTCGATCTGAATCATGAGTGGAAAGATCACATTTCAAGAGCAAGATCTTGTGAAAAAAATTATGTTAGCTGTAAAATATTTCTTTAAAGAAATAAAAAAAAAATCTCTAAAACTTTCAACGGTTTTTGTATATTTTAGTTTTTCCCTTTTGTTTTACTATATGGTGCTTCCCCCCCCCCCCCCCCTCTCTATTTTGTTCTGTTTTGTTGTATAGATCTATTTGTATCATAACAGCAATGCTTATTTTTTTGCGCCTGTATTTTTCACAGCTGTGACAAACGAAAGACCAAAAAAATCTAAACCTCTTTAAAAAGAGTTTATTTGCTGTCCCATGATTGGTCTGATTGAGTGTACGGTAAATGTTTTATGCCCCTTTCAACATAATTTAGGTAATTACGAAAGCAGTCTGATTCAACACTGGCTGTTAGGGCCACCTCGGGCTGAATGGATTACAACGTCCAAGAAGAACAGCGACTTGGACTTTCCCAATTTTAACGCAAACTTCTCCGTGTCGGAATTGAACTCCTGTGTTTTGCTTGCTGCGACGGCGAAGAGCATAACGTTGCTGAAAGTTCTCTGAATGGGATGACAAGAAATGTGGTCTAGTTCACAGTACGATTTATTCTAGGTATTAAAATTAAAAGTTAGTATGACCGTACTCGCTGAAGAAAGCAAAGGAACAAATTTAATAGAAGTAGTAAAAGTTGGGTTTAAGGGAATCATAAATACCCACACACAGTGATTTCATTGATTTCACATAATAAGCCTACATATATATATATATATATATATATATATATATATATATATATATATAGTTGCCAACCCAGGGTGAGAGGAATACTACATTCAAGCGGAAAAACCGAGACACTCGATAAAACTTTTCCCCACTCGGGAATCAAACTGGAGTCTCCTGCATGCAACAGCAAAGCATCTGACCACTACACCACAGACGCCAGTGTATAATAATACACATTATTATCACACCAATACAACCCGTGTTACTGGTTACAAACACGCTAATGCTGCTGGCAACTGTCCGTTATTGTCTTTGGTGGCTCGTCAATCAAATTAGTTTTCTTGGGGGGGGGGGGTGGTTGTTAGTTTTATAATTAAGTTTTAATTAGAGATAGAATTTATTGTACTTGCAAAACAGTTAGGACATAGAAGTGCTGAAAAATAGAGGTGTTGCTTGACATAAATGAATAAATACATAATAAATAAATTAATTAATGAATAAGTAAATAAATAAATAAACAGATAGACAGATAAACAAATAATGAAATAGTTTCATTGCCATCAATCCAAAGTAAAAGGCGACTTCAACGAACAACGAAATAGATCTACCTGATGAGAGTTGTTTCCCATGGTCAATGTTTCGGATTTTCATTGAGTGATCCTTCGTTTGTGTTACAATTTTTTAAATATAAGTTTTAATTTAGTAGTATTTTATGGCTATCCATCTATATTTCAGAAATTCAAATATTAAATAATGACTCACTTATTATATAGCAAAACATTTTTTGAATTTTATTATGAGTTACATTCTAATCTGTGATACAATCTAGTTTCTAATAGTCTATACAACGAACGCTCCCTATCTGGAATAAACATGGCGACTTGCTTGTAGGGTTTGTAGGTGATATTGGCTGGATATTGGAAACATTGACATCCGTTTGGTCTAGGCCAGTAATTCTTAGCTACCGAGAGGAAGGACATTTTTAAAAGGTATGCAACGTTTTGATCTCTGTTTTTGTGAGGTTTAGTTATGTCAAGCCAGTTTTAACCCTGTTTGTAAGTTCTTCTAATTCTAATGATAAGGCTGAGGCACCGGGGCCCGGTCCACCCTCTGCCTCCTTTAAACTTTTGTCGTCTGCTAACACTGCGCGGACACTAAAACACTGGACGCACTGAGTCTGGCAGTGACGTTTATTGTTACATTCACTAAACTAATCAAACTAATACTGCAAATGGTTGAAATTGTTACTAACAGACTGACACCCCTAACAGTGTCATTCATCACAAGTAGCAACTTTTTAGGTGATCTTGTTCCGTTCGTTAAACTAGTCCACGATCCATTTGTTTACATCCAGAGAAGAAATCCAGAAGTCTTGAAGACCAAATACTATTTGAATTAGGCTACACAAAGAGCAGGGATGCAACCTAACTGCAAAACATCAAATTAGGATAAAACCATGAACCCCCCACCTCCATGTTTTTTTTAGGTCAGCTTGACTTTAACGAACGAAACTACAAAATCGCAGCAACTTAGAATCTAGATTAGATCTAGATCTCTAGGTACAATTGTTTTAACTTTCTCGCGTTTAATTTTACTTGGGTGGTGGCCGAAGTCTACCCTTATCGATTTTGGACCACCAAGGGATGTTTAACATACACGCAACTTGCACACGGGACCTCCGAGATTTTTCGCGCTTGTCCTACCAGAAGATCAGGGGTGTGGCTGAAAGACAGCAGTCAGCAAGTAAGAAGCAGCCAAGGAGAAGCAGTAGAAAGGCTGCAGAAAGAGTCAGGAGCGCAGAGGGGGGGGGGGAAAAGGAGGTGAAGGGGTGGGTGTAGAATGTGGAGATGAAAGCAGATGACAGAATATTGCTAGAGAGCAGGAAAGGAGACAATTTCAGAACATTTTTCCATCGCTACCTGGATTCGTACCCATGACCTTTGAATGAGAGGCGAACACCTTAACTTCTAGAGTAATCGTACCGGTTCGGGCTGCATGTTTTTTTTTTGCTGTCGGGCACTGGAGTACAAAAAGATCGTTTAAAACTTTGTTTTCAAATCTAGCCCCAAAAGAGTGGCACACAAACCTAAAGCAACCTCCCTTACTTTCGTTGAAACAACAGTTACGGCGATATTTTGCTAAAAATAGTCCTTAAGACAGCTTTTTCTTCATCAACTGAGCAAAACAGCGTGAAGCTCTTTCCCCGTTAACATTGGTTGTGGATGAAGGAGCCTGTGACCTAGATTCTACGTTTTGGTAGACTCTGAAGGCTGGAGAGTTATTTGCATATGAGGCCCTGTCAAGGATGAAAGAGAATTTGCCGTTTAGTCTCGCCGTTTTTGCCCAAAGGGGGGGTGCCCGGATTGTAACATAAAATCCGTAGTTTCTCATCCTTCGGGCACATAAGATAATATAGAGCCAATGGTTATATAACAAAGAATAAAGAATTTGTGCATAATTTAAATAATAGTAGAGCCAAATACAGCATATTAACTCAGTCAGACACTAGTGTAATAGAGTCAGATACCAGTGTGTAATACAGTCGGATATCAGTGTAGCCGAGTCAGATCCAGTGTAGTTGAGTGAGCCAGATGCCAGTGTAGTAGAGTCAGATACCACGTAGTAGAGTGGGTCAGATACATACTCATTAAAATAGCTATAAATGATGAATACCACTTAAATAGACAAACTATCATTGTGTCCAAGTGTTGATAACAAACATTAGAAATCATGTTATTAAGCTTGCAAAGAAACAAATGTGATGATAATTGAAAATGACCGAATGTCAAAATACTGCCCGAATCCATGAGAAAACCAAAAAAATGCGACCGAACTCATAAATAAATCGGGCGTCACTTTTGCACCCAGTAAGGGCCTCAAACATGAGAACAAGCTGAAACAGGTCATTCCTGGGGTCATCCAATCACATGACTTCCTGTAGCTGGTTTCGGTTTTTATCTAGGGCAAGGCAGATAGGAGATATAAAGCTTTAAAGTGGACGTGCCTGTTTTCGTCCTTATTTTGACCGAACAGGTAATATTACTCTAGATCTAGATTATCTAGATCTAGATCTAGATCTAGATCTAATCTATTTCTATATCTAGGTCTAGATTTCTAGATCTAGAATATGCCACGAGAGCCCCTACAGCGAGCTTAAGAGGAAGTCACATTTTCACTGTTTACAAAAATGGAGATACGACAAGAAAGCACTGAGGTAGAGAAATCAGTTAAAGTTGGCAGGCGCTTTTGCAACGGCGCGTTCTGAATAGCTTGGATGCTATTTGAAACGCTGCATTCTGATTAGGCCAGGTCCCATGCTATTTGAAACGCCAGTACTAGATCTAGATCTAGATCTAGCCTAGTAGCCATCGTTTCTACATAGAGATCTAATAATATTGTAGTTTTGCCTGAATTGTGGAAGCTTTCTTCGTCTTAGTTTCTTGATCAGCCTTCTGGATTCTAGATCTAGAATTTGACTCCTTTTTTATGACGTTGTCTTATTCCAATCAATGTTGGGTAGATCTAATCATTTGAGTTTGAGAAAGTAGGTCAAAAGACGCTTGGATAATAACAAGACGGTGCAACTCGGTCTAAGCACCATTTCCTGTCGGCAGTCTCTTCATACAATACCTAAAAATAATTATTAGATCTATATCTGCGTGCACTTTATATTTTGCCATCACACATGATGTCGCCTGATCTAGATTTCTAGGCTTCTGCGTTTAAATTAGCAGAGGGGGTAGTGTCTAGATTTACATTCTGTAACGTTAGGCCTAGAGAACGTATGTTAAAGCTGTATACATTCTCTAATGTTCAGTGCTTCCAAACATGGCATCAAATCCCGGTCCCGGAAGGTTGGTTTTTTTCTTCTCCTGAGCCAAAAATTATTTTAAAAAAATTATTAGACTCACAGACCACTATTGAACTTATTAACCAGGCCTGAATTGGTAAAAGGAAAAGTACAGATCTAGATCTAGATCTACTTTGTAGGTAAAAGCTCCTCTTGCGGACAATACCAGAATGTGGCATGCTTCATCACTAGATCTTGATCTACTTAAAACACTACAAAGCAACAAGTTATAATTATGTGGAAAAGGTGATGTTCCAAGTCAGTCGGGAAGAGGAGAAGAAGACAAAAAAAAAACAACTTCCTGGACCGGGATTCGTACCCACGCTCATAAAAAAAATGGTTCAAACGCAGACGCGCTCTCGATTCGGCCATCAGAACTTCCAACAACGAAGCGTAGATTAAGCCTTATATTTAACACACTGCGTTTTATTTAGCACTGGTGCTAATGGCAATGCGGTGTTGCAAATGGGCACTTCCATTAAATTTACCAAAAATTACACACACAATAAATAAGTTAAACATCAAGCTTTAGTATGGCTAGATCTAGACAAGATTTTAGATTCAAAATCAGTTTTGTTCAATAAAGAAACAATCATTATTTTAAAATAAGCAACTGGGCGGCCCAAAAATGAATAAAATAAATATATATATATATATGTATATAAATATAGGCTAATGAAAGGTAGACTTACTCAAGGCTTAGTCATTGTATCTCCAAATCTGCGCCGACAAATAATAATTAATTTATAGACAAGTGGTGCAGCGCCGGAGAATAGCTTCCGATCTATTGACCGGCGCAGCGCCGGATAATACCTATTTGTAAAAATATAAAACTTCAGAACTGAAAAAAAATTGCTTGGGCGCAGTAACATGGGCCTAAAACAATAGTTTGGCATGCATGCATGAAACAAACATGTATGTATGGGAACTGGTAGAACCAAAAAATAGTTTTACACTCACGTTTTCTTGTCCTTGATGTGCTCCTTTTTCATTATGGTAAAGTGAATAACACTTGTGACATCTAGCCTAATCCAACATTACATGAAGGCACCTCTTTTTTTCTTATTCTACTCCTACAAATCAAGATCACATTTTAAAATCTATTTCTAGAACCATTCTAAGACCAAAAGGTTTAAATACACACAATAAAAATCCATTCTAGATCTAGATCTAGATCTAGATCTAGTTCATTGTGATTTCTAGATCTAGAATTTAGTTTCATCACTCTCTCATGCAAGCCACAATCCATCTTCTAGATGTCTAGATCTAGATTTAAAGCCTTTCAACCACTGCAAACAACAACACACCTAATATTAGTCTCTTCCTTCAGTTCTTTGCATATTTTCATGCAAATAAATTTTTAAAAAAACTTTTGAAATAACATCATCACTAGACTAGATCTAGAATATATAGGATAGGGTCGCAACTGTCTCTGACCGATTCTTGTGGTGTATTTCCGTCATCTGCCATCGTATCAACAGGTTCACTTTCACAAACAAAAGCTTCCATTCACGACATACTACGCGCCGTTTTGCCTCAACAAAGAAAAGAAAGTTCAAAGGGAAAGTAGATCTAGATTTAGTAGCAACCATTAGTAATTGCCAGATTCATGTCAGAAAGTCAAGCAAAATGATACAAAACTCATCGCCCAAAGAGGGTTAAAATCTGAAATCTTAATTTTAATATTTCCAGTTCCATTTTATTTCCATCGAAATTGTTATGTAAAATTTTTTGTTGTTGAAAAATTCTGTAAACAGACTCAAATACCCATTGTGTTTTTATGCAAAAAAAAATTCTGAAATTATGCAAACTGAGCCCAAAAATGTGAAATTATGTGATTCTGCTAATTTTAACAAAGAATGATAAAGGAAAATAATCAGAAATTATGCTAAAAATGATCAAATTTTGCTAAAGTATGTGGGGTGCATAAAACCTCGGGAACAGATTGTGTAGAATCTAGTGTTCAGTCACAAATTAAAACAAGCAAATGAAAAAACCCCCACAAAAAAACAGCTGCTGATGGCCACTGTAAGACTGTCATATTATTATGACTGCATAACGTTTACTGAGGTCAGCGGCAGTGTGTTATCACTAACTGTTTCTAAGGTGTGGAGTGTGGGCAGTTGCAATGTGTATGTGCTCAGTTCATTAGACTTTCACACTTGCACGTCACTGAATACTCTTGTGGAGATTTTAAATGAATAATGTCAAGCCAAGTGATAAGTCCAGCTGCTCAATTTTGCATTGGTTGAATGAACAATGTTTTTTTTTACTTTCTCAGTCTGAGGACAGATTGGCAGAGATATTTATTTATATGGAAGAGGCTAGCCATAATTATTGACGGCTGGACTGGCAGGCTAGCCGCACTTATATAAATGGCTAGTCTGACAAACAGCAAAAAATAGGCCTACTGAATTGTAAAACATTTTTTAGTTTGCAATACCTAAGGTATTTGTATTTGAGAATAAACCAAAGGGTGCCTTACTGACAGTGCATGTATTTATAAACCTGAATAAATACTAATGAGACCTGTGTACTCAACAGGTTTCTAATAGGGCCTAAAATAGGTACGGCTAGACTGACAGGCTAGCCGTACTTAATAACGATGGCTGAATTGTAAATAACATTTTTGTTTGCAATACCGTAACAAGTGCATTTCAGACGAAACCAAAAGGTGCCTTACTGACATGCATGTGTATTTGAAACCTGAATAATTGTTAGATCTAGATCTAATGAGGCCTGTGTACTCAACAGGCTTCGGTCAATAGGGCCAAACCTAGATCTAAGTACGGCTAGCCTGGCAGGCTAGCAGTACTAAAGTACTTTGATTTTATATAAAGGGACAGTTATTATATTCTAATTTTGAGGCTGGACTTTGTCAAGAATGACTGACCGTAAGCTAGATCTTTGTTGGACAGGAAAAAAGATAAAAGTGCTTTTTAGGCGCGTAAATTATTAGACTCAATGTACAACAATCGCACGTTTTTGCTTGCTTTTGTAGAACATTATTAGACCCAAACTATAGTGGGTGGTTGGCGGGTGCTCTGGTGTGGTTTGCTTCTTCTTTCCTAACACCTATCGTCCAAGTTATCTCCCATTCTTCTTTTTTGTGTTTGTCACTCTCTTGCAACACCTCTAATCTTCTGGTGTTCATATGACCTTATACAGTTGCAAGCGCCGTAAAACCTCTACTAAAACTAAAGCTTAACATCAATAACATGTTAATACTTGTGTTTGTTTGTGGCACTTGCGTTTGTAGCTTATTTATAGGGGATATTGTTAGCCATAGTCCTTAGGCTTAGCATGACCACAAGAAACATATCCTTGTCACGAAACCTGTTGCGAAAAACGAATTCATGGAGATAATAATAATATATATACAACATTATATAGTGCATTTCCATAAAAAGTAGCTTTATTGGCTTTACATTGGAATACCCATTTTCCAAACCTTTCTTACTACTTCCTTTTTTCTCATGCAATATATATTTATGCACACACACACACACACACACACACACACACACACACACACACACACACACACACATACATCACACGCACACACGCACGCACGCACGCACGCACGCACACACACACACACACACACACACACACACACACACACACACACACACAGACTGTCTTCATTCAGACGTAGGCACAGAACAACTATAATAAAAATGACGCTAAAAGCTTATGAAGAATAGGATGGAAAGAGATGACGCGATGTGCCGAACTGTCTGCGCAATGTTCGTTTAGCGCGCATCCACATCATGTTCTCCGCATGTCCGGTGTGGATGTCTGGATCGTCCGGGTCCACAAAGTGTTGCTGATGAACAACAACTGTGGGCGGTTGGCGGGTGCTCTGGTGTGGTTTGCTCCTTCTTTCCTATCAAACGCCTATCATCCTTATCTCCCCTCCTTCTTTTTTTGTGTTTGTTACTCTTTTGTAACACCTCTAATCTTCGGCACATACATTACCTTATTGTGTTGCAAGTGCCGTAAAACCCATACTAAAAAACCCTCCAAAAACCAACAATTGATAATTTACTCGCGCCAAGTGTCTATTCAATTAACATGTTATTGTTGTATATTGGGTCTAATAATGTGCTACAAACGCAAGTAAGAACATGTTGTTGTTGTATATTGAGTCTAATAATTTACGCACCTAAAATGCTTTTTCACCGGAAAAAAAAATAGGACAAACATAAGGGTGTCACGGAACAATGACTATCAGTGTACAGATAATGGATTTATGGAGAGGGGACCGCGTAGGTAGACTGGTTCAACTGTAGTTCACTTCCCTTTTGAGAAGACAAAAAAATGTCTCAATTCTAGACCTTAAGACATTTTAACCTTTCCTGCAAAAGTTGTTTCCTGACTAGTAGCCGTGGGCGAGAAGATTATTTATGCGGGATCAGAAATTTGTTGTCATGGTAATAGACTTTAGACTTAGAGATGTTTTATTAAGCACTGCGTATGTGTCACCTCTATAATGTGGGGGGTGGGGTGGGTGGCACAAGGGTGTATGACTTTTTTAAATGAAAGAAAAACTTTTGTTATTTTGTCTAGCGGTAGAGAAATCAGTGGAATGTGGAAATATTTTCCTTATTTATTTAAGTGTGTGCAAGTTTCGCTATATGTAGGCTGCATGTTTTTTAAAATGACCCCCCCCCCAACCCCCCCCCCCCCCCACAATGAACAAAACAACAAACAAACCAACCCCCCCCCCCCCCCCCACAAAAAAAGTAAAATAATTGGGGACCTGAATCTGTTGGCTGTGTGCTTGTTTTGCAAATTTTGTGTTAGTTCGCTATACTATGTGCTTGCTAGACTTTAGTGCGAGAACTGTGTACTGCATGTCACTTTTGTAGGGTTATCAGTAAAAGCACAAAACTGCTTTTTTTCTTCCTGCTACAGAGTGCTTCCAGTTTTAAACCGAGGTCTGTGAGTTGACGTGAGATCCCGAGGAAGGATGAGACTGACCAGAAAGCTTTGTGCGGGAATCCGTGATGTCACCGTGAGGAACTGGAATATTCAGTGGCAACGACACGGCAAATTCAATGATCAGCCGGTCAAAGTTCCTCCAGCATTGGTGCAGAAAGGTGACCTGGTGGTTTTTTTTGTAGTAATACCAAAGCTATTTGAAAGATAGGTTCTACCATCTAACCTAATCTATAAACTACACAGATGCAAAGATCAATATTTCTCAAGCAAAATGCTTTTTACTTGTTGAAAATTGATTCATAAATTTAGAATTGTTCGTGTGGAAAATTGTGAGTATTTTGGAGGATATTTTTTTCAGTGAATGCTCTAAAGTCTTAGATTTCTCCAGCTTGTATTGTTGTACGACACCTTGTGCTGCTGGCGTAGGGCGTGTGAATTTTCTACTTTTCGTTACCAAATCTAAGTCACTCTGTGATTTGTGAACAGGGTTCCTGTGTTTACATTCATAATTTGCCTCTTATCTTATCTTATCTTATCTTATCTTACCTTATCTTAATGGGTGGTTAGCGGGTGCTCTGGTGTGGTTTGCTCCTTCTTTCCTATCACACATCTGTCGTCTTTATCTCACCTCCTTTTTTGTGTATGTTACTCTCTTGTTACACATAGTTTATTCTTCGGTACTTATTTGACCTTATTGTGTTGCAAGTGCCGTAGAACTCTTACTTAAAATATCTTATCTCATCTCATCTTATCTTATCTTATCTTATCTTGTCTTGTCTTATCATATCTTATTGTATCTTATCATAATTCCCCAAAAGGTGTATAGATTGTTGATGCCAAAGAGGCGGAAAGCGGTGCCGTGGAGCCCTTGTCTTCTCTTATCTTATCTTAATTCCTCAAAAGCTTTATCTTTCCTTATCTTATCTTATCTTAATTCCCAAAAAGGTGTGGAGATTGTTGATGCCAAAGAGTTGTTGAAACGGAAAGCGGTTCCGTGGAGCCCACCAGTGGCCGACGACCTGCGGTGGGCCGAGGCCGTCCCGCCAGAAGAACGAGCAGACTGGAAGACGGAGCCGGCGTACTCGTTCAGTCATGAGGTGCAGTTGTACGAAGGTAACGGATATCTGTTTGGTTGGTTTTTTTTCAGTTGTGTTTTTGTTGTTGTTTGTCTTCTCTCCTCTTCCCCCCCTCTCTCTCTCTCTCTTTCTCTCTCTCTCTCTCTCTCTCTCTCTCTCTCTCTCTAGTTCAACCGTGAAGTGCAGTTGTACGAAGGTAATCAATATATCTCTTTTGTTGTTTTTAGGTGGTTTTTTTGGTTTATCTTTTCTCCTCTCTTTCTCTCACTCTCGTTCAATCATGAAGTGTAGTTGTACAAAGGTAATCAATATATCTTTTGTTCTTTCAGTTTTGTTGTTGTTGTTTGTTTGTCTTCTCTCCTCTCTCTCTCTCTCTTTACTTCTCTTTTTTCTTTCTCTCTTTCTCTCTCTCTCTCTCTCTCTCTCTCTCTCTCTCTCTCTCTCTCTCTCTCTCTCTCTTTCTGTGTCTCTCTCTCTCCCTACTTCTCTTTCTTTCTGTCTTTCTGTCTGTCTTTCTCTCTCTCTCTCCCTCCCCCTCTCCCTCCTTCTCTCCCTCCCTCTCTCCCTCCTCCATGCCTATTGCCACATGATTTGTATACACACCCTCTCTCACTTTCTATCTCTCTCTCTTCCCCCACCCCCACAGGCATGAAACAAGCCTGTCTCATTGCCAAAGCCCAGCACTTTGAAGGTTTGCCGCCCGCCGTCCAAGAACTGGTCGGTGCTGTGCCGACGCCAGACAGGGTGAGTCAAGTTTTACCGTCTCTTTACGAATTAACTCTTTATCTCCGGCAAGCCACTCCCAGAGGCTTTACTGTCTCTTTATGAATTATGAGGCAGCGCGGTGAAATCAGGCGCTCGTCAAAATAATCAGAGTGGAGAAACTGGCATTTTTCCACAGGTTTGTGAATTTTTATCGAATTTTCGCTTTTTGGCTCAACACCTTTCATGCCCATTAAAGAACTCATTTCTGTGTGGATTTTACTGAAAAACATTGATTCGAGGCCCAAAAACTATAAATTTTCAGTTTCTACATATTCTCAAGTTAAGGAAATTACTAAACTTTGGTGGCCATTTTCTCACTAATTTTATCTCTGAAACCAGGTGACCCGCCACCTCCTTCATTCGCAAATATCTCGACTTCTATTCAAGATACATGGATATTTTTTTCATCCAAAGCAAGACAAATGAACAAGCTTTAATATTATTACAATAACTCTACATGCCCAAATATTGACGAGATCCTGATTCCACCGCGTCGCGATACAATTTACTCTTTATCTTCGGCAAACTGCTCCCAGCAGCTCACAGTCGGAACCCCTGTGCTGTTTTAACCGCTGACAGGGGCTCGGGCACTTTCCTTTAAGGCTACTTCTACATCTAGTTACTTTTCTGCATCTGCTGAAAACAGGTCTCTTATACCGGAAGTTCATTCATTAGATGAAGAACTATCAAAATAGGTTTGCTAGTTTCGATTTAATGACCCTTTAATTTAATGACGTTTTTGTCATTATTTTTAGATTTAGCACCAAAAAAGGGCTCCGGCATTGTAGGTTTACCCCCCCCCCCCCCTCTTGGAGATAAAGAGTTGTTTAAGTTTTAGTAAAAGAGTTTTATGGCACTTGCAACACAAATAAGTCCTATAAGTGCCCTGGCTGAGAGGTGTCACTAGAGAGTAACACACAAAGAAGAGAAGGAGGAGAGATAAGGACAATAGATTCTTGATAGGAAAGAAGGCGCAGACCTCACCACAGCGCCCACCAAATTGAATTAATATTGTTGTAAGAAACTATCAAAAAACAAAAGGAAAAAAGCAAACAAAAAGTAATTATAACAAAGTCAATCGGACAATATTTGCGGAAAATATGAACATTTTAATGATGCAGGGTGAGGAAACTTAAAAATGAGAAAGCGGGCTCCTAAGTTGAGCAATGTGTATCGTTAAACCATACACACTTAAAAATATCGAAATAAAATAAACACAGTGGGAAAAGGTTGTTTATTTTTTTATGGAATAAAACCAAAAATTTCAAACTTTCAAGAGATTAGAAAAAAACCCAACAAAAAACCCCCAACAAAATCTATTTTTAACCGTATCATTACGCCTGGGATCATTTTGTACTCCTGTGGTTGTATTCTTCATATTTTAGGATGCTTCTAGAGCGAAGATCTCTTTGAAACTTTCAGTATTTCTCCAAAAATCTTTTTGACAGACTGCTATGCAAAGCGTACGGATCGCATTAACGAGTGATTTTGCATTTCGGAAAGTGGTGGCACAGAGTTTCCCTCGTCGTATGGATACGATAGTAAAACGTGACGAACGGATAAGGTTAAGTGGTCGCTCAGAGTTCCCCACGTCGTACGGATACGACAGTAAAAAGTGACGTACTGATAAGGTTAAGTGGTCGCACAGAGTTCCCCACGTCGTATGGATACGATAGTAAAACTCGACATACGGATAAGGTTAAATCTGTTTTGGGCCTCGTAGCTCACAGAATAGCCAGTCCAGTGCGATTTCTTAAGTCCGACCGATGGCGCGCGACCGGCGCTGATATGATTGGTTTATTTTTAAAAAAACTTTTTTGGGTTTTTTTTTGGGGGGGGGGGGGGGGATTTATAGATTTATTAATATTATTTTTATTTTTATTTTTGGTGATTTTTTTTTTGGTTTTTGTGTTTTGTTTCTTTTTGGTCGCATGTCTCGCGTAGGACTTGCTGCTCCAGAGACTCATCATGCTGTCTCAGTGCTGGAACACAGACGAGACGCGCCTGCCGAAGCGGAAAGCTCCGCCGCACAAGATCTTGTGGAAGTTCAAACGGGCCTACGGGATCACAGCGACCAAGTCCAGGTAGGTTTTCCGAGTGGCTGGGAAAAAAAATCTGGCCGGGCTTGTTCGATCCGAAAGAGACTGACGAGATGATAATGATAAGAATAATTGCCTCCCTAAGATCAAAATTTACTTTATTTTATCCGCGTTAAAAGCCTGCGTTTTCACCCAGGTTTTTCTTTCAGAGGGGGGGGGGGGGGGGGCAAAGAGAGGGCTGCCATTTTGGTACCATTCAAAGGAATTCAGCTGTGATCTTAAAATTCTTTTATTTGGTGTTTAAGGCTGTTGGTCCACATCTCATAAAGCGTACACATTTTATGATTAAGAGAGATTTCTGTGAAAACAGCGTAAATGATAAATGATAGACATATCAATAACATTTTTAAAATGTTTGTGTTGTTAAACAAAGTTACCATAATGAAATATCTTGCACACCCCCACCCCCCCTCCCAACACACATACATACTCATACACACATTCCCTCATGGGAGGTTCGCGGGTGCTCTGGTGTGAATTGCTTCTTCTTTCCTATCAAACATCTATCGTCCTTATCTCCCCCTTTCTTCTTTTTTATTACTCTCTTGTAACACCTCTAATCTTCTGGTGTTGATATGACCTTATGCAGTTGCGAGCACTGTAAAACCTCTACTAAGACTAAAACATAACATTCCCTCCCACATCACCACCACCATCAGTGAGATTCTGCTACGGAGCCTGCTGCGACTGTGCCAGAGCCACGTGGGTGATCTCCCCTCTCTTGCCGCCAGACGCCAGACGTACCAGCCCCTGCTGCACTCCCACGTCATGTACCGCGGTGAGTTACCTCCCCTGTCTATATTGCTGCTCATTTATATTGTGCATGTGATTGTAAGCCTGCGTGTGTGTGCGTGCGTGTGTGTGTGTGTGTGTGTGTGTGTGTGTGTGTGTGTGTGTGTACATGTGTGTGTGTGTGTGTGTGTACATGTGTGTTTGTGCGTGTGTGTGTGTGTGCATACATGTGTGTGTTTTTGTGTGTGTGTGTGTGTGTGTGTGTTTGTATGTGTCTGTGTGTGTGTGTGTGAATGTGTATGTGTGTGTGTATGTGTGTGTGAATGTGTGTGTGAATGTGTGTGTGTGTGTGTTTGTGTACATGTGGTGCAACACCAAACCAATGTGCCAGGATCTGGACAATAAAGATGTATCTTATCTTATCTTGTCTCCTCTTATCACCTCCGTCATCTGCTGCAAACATTAATAACACTTTGCAGTCACACAGCCAGCTGTACAAAATACCCCATCTGGTCACCCAGCCAGGAGAGTGACTGCGATAAAACTTCTCGGGCCTGGTGCAGAACTGCACCAGGTGACCGGTACGGAGAATTTTCACCGTCACATTGTTGCGCCATGTGACTGCAAAGTGTTAAACGTATGTTCAGCTTCGTAGGTAATTGAGCATTTCGCTGGAAGTCTGTGCAAATTTGAAGTTATCACTTTTAGAGAAAAAAAAAAGAAGAAAATTAGATGGTGATTTCACTAGTTCTTTCCTACTCCTTTTTCTTTTGTTTTCTCACAAATTCATTTATTTTAATTGTAGACTGTAGACAGTTATTCTCAACTTGTATTTTTGTTGCTTTCTCACAGAGTCGTTCCAACTGTTGAGTTTTTTCCTTTCTGACAAAGTTATTTATAATGAGCAATTTTTTCCAGCTGTTTTTTTTTTTGGTGCTCTCACAAAGAGTTTTATAATAAACAGTTATTTTCTTGCGCCCTCTCACAGACAAAGTCTTTTATAATCAAGTTTATTCCAACTGTTGTGTTTTCTCACAGACAAAGTCTTTTATAATCAAGTTTATTCCAACTGTTGTGTTTTCTCACAGACAAAGTCTTTTATAATCAAGGTTATTCCAACTGTTGTGTTTTCTCACAGACAAAGTCTTTTATAATCA